GTCAGAATCTGAAACTATGCATATTAATAATCTGATATATGTTTTAAATGTTGAGTAATTTTTATCTTTCTCCATAAATTATAAGTTAATTACATTTTTATTTTTAAGTTGAATCTCCTCAGTTGGGATTTCATGTTATTAATAATTTTCACTAAAAAGTGATTTTTATTTTGTTTAAAATTGATCAATGGTATATGTTGTAATAACTGATAATATATCTGCTATAATTTGAATGTTTAATTTGTTCATTTTACCAAATTTTAATTTATATACATTTTTACAAATGGTACAGGCCTATGATATATCTTTTTAAACTCTGTGATAAGGATGGGATGAAAAGTTCATAGGCTGACTATGAAGATTGATACTAGAGCTGTGAAATTTTGCATGCATTAATTTCAACTCTTTTTATTAATAACTGCATTGTTTCTTCCCAGATAAACTGACATCTATCAGTTCAATGAAGACTGTTCATCCTGTTGGTCAAAAAAGTCATCACTGCAATATTGGTTTCCAGACGAGTGTTTTTTCATGTTGTGGAACAGATGATAGTCAAATCAGGAGAATAGGGTGGATGATCAACCAGTTCAAAGCCACAGTCACCCACAGCAGCCACTGAAACCAAGAACTCGTGTGCTGGGGCATTGTCCTGATGAAACAAGAGCCCTTTTGTCAGTTCTCCTGAGGGCTTAGTCTTGATAGCCTTTCATAACTGCCACAGCAAATTGGCATAATATTCTCCATTGATGGTGTAGCCCTTGTGGAAATAGTCAATAAACACAATACCTTTTGTATCCCAAAAATCTGAGGCCATTACCTTCCTTGCAGAAGAAACAACCAGGTATGGATGGAAGATTTTACTACATGGATTGTCTCTTTGGCTCTGGCTCAAAGTGATGAACCCAACACTCATCCTGGTTTAGGAAATATTTAAGAAAACTGGCTGGATCTACCACAATGTCAAATTTTTCTGTGATATGATCAGCCTGTGCGTTTTTGATCTGGTGTTAGAAGATGTGGCACCCACTGAGCAGAAACCATCATGCTAAGTTCATTGTGCAGAATATTCTCAACTCTCTCATGGGACATTCTAATGGCATTGGATATTTGATTTATAGTCAATTGCCTGTCATCCATCACTATGTGGTGGACACAATGTTTTCCTTGGTGGTGGCAGAAGAGCCAGTTCAAGGGTCTTGTGGGACCCTTCCCTGAATCTATGATATAACCTCCCCCCCCAATCTATGATACAAGGCCCTTCACTCTACTACATCTCAATTTTCATACGGTAGTATTCATATAAAATACACATTTTATTGTAAGTTAATTACATACAATAATGAATTATATGCAATATAGGCAAACAATTCCACTAGAAAAATTAAAAAATAAATACAATGTATCTAACTACAAATTAGATAAATGTTATTATAGATTGTTTCATCATGAATAAATCAACAATATTTTGCAGCAAATTTTAACATCGACTTGAGATTTTTCTTGTTAAAAAATTGTATAATTTTAACACATTCAACATTATGGCTATAAAATAGTGAATTTTATATAGTGATTTTTTTTAAACTTAGCATGAGCAAAACAAATTCATGGATTTGGACAAAAAGAAGACCCCAGAATTGTCAAAATTTGAAAAAAGTTTTCATCCTGTAATACTCAGTTGTGCTTAGTTTAATTTGTAATGTATATAAATGTAGATAGAAAAAAAGCAAATGTTGATAAGATAGCGAGTGTCACAAAGCACTGTCCAGAGCCCCAAATAAGGCTTGGGATCTCTAGTCAAGGAGTTTATATGTAGTACGCACTCTTCCTGGGTAGCAGTTAAAGGATGTCTAGACCCTGGGTCATCTTCAAAACTCCCCCTTTGCCTCTTGAATTCAGTTGCCTACTTTTGCACTGTTGATAAAGCTAGAGGGTCATCCCCTAATATATCAAGCATATAAGCATGAATGTCTTTGAGGACTAAGCCCTTTTTCTACAAGTACACGATAACACCACAATGACAAATTTTGTCCATTTTTAAGTATAATCACTACTAGTTATGTTGATGTTAATTTACCTAGAAAGAAACAATACAGTTATTAATAAGAAAAGTTGAAATTAATGCATGCAAAATTTCACAGCTCTAACATCACTCCTTCATAGTCAGCCCATATTATGATGAGACTCTTTCTTGTATCAGAGTTGGATTCTTTCATCTATATCTAAAATTATCAAAATGTATGTGCGTGTGTGTGATTGGATGTTGTTTATGAGTTTCCACAGTTTTCATCCAATTTCAATTAATTTTCTTTGTTTGATAGATAATTCTTCAGTGCCGGTTTTGAGTCCAAATTGGCTGGAAAAAATTACAACCTCGAAGGTCAAAAATCAAAAAAACTAATTTTTTACACTTAGTGCAAAAATCAAAGGCAAAATTTAATGTCTGCAAAAAACAGTGCACAATCAATTTAGAGAGTTTAAATCTAATGCAAAAGATTATTAGAATTATAAAAAAATTATATTATAAATAAAAATTATTGTATATTATTATCATGATGGTCCATGTAAGAGGTTTCTTCCTTGCAAGATTGAGAATGCAAAAACGGCCCTTTTCAGGGCCAACCCCCACCATTCAAATTGTTAACCTCCCATTTGGGGATGTGCCTTAGTTGCACACAATTGTTGTTACTAATATTAATTTTCGGGTGGGCTGACTTTAAACTTAAACTGCTCCAATTGAACAGCAAAAATTCCCAGCAATGAAACACCTGGTTGAAGACAGGTTATACTGCTAGTTATCCGACATGTTTACATTGAAGATAGGAAAATTGATTTTAACCAAATCAAGAGACTTTCCTCTACACTACCTACTTTTAAAAGTTAAAACTTTTAAAATCTATAATATAAAACTAGATACTTCCTAAATTTTGTTACAAAAGGAGGATACAGGATGAAAAAAAATAAGAAGAAAACTTTATCATCAAAATCTTTGTGTTATGATGAAGATGAAAGATCAAAGTATTTTTTGATGTGAAAATTATTTTTTAATCCTATTTAGAACCTTGGAAATTTTGGTTGAAAAGCTTTTCTTTTCTTTCTTTTTGCATCAACATTGGGCTTTAAATTTGAGCAATTTTTTGTAGTGAAAAACACATTGGGTTGGAAATTCTTGCAAAAATCAGATAATTATGAGATTTTAATGAAACTTTTAGAACTTATTCAGAAATTAATTAAATTATTTTTAAATGTTTCATTTTTATATTTTTTTTATATTTTCTTTTATATTTATTCATTTTTATATTTTTCTTTGGAAAAATATATTTTTTTTCATCTGTTACCCTGACTTATTTAATTATTATGAAATTTTGTGAAATTCTTTTTTGTACCATTTAATGTTTCTATTTCTTATAAGGACAAGTCCTCAGAAAATTTAAATCCTCAAGACTCCCAGTTGTAGAAAATCTACCTTGAATCATAAAATAAAAAATGCAATAAAGCTAAGACATTTTTTTTTTATTTAGAAAAGGTTTTAATTGCTTTTATGAATAAAATATATTATGGACACTATTGTATTAAGAGAATATATTCTTTTGATGAATAATGAATTTTTAAAAGTATTGTTTTCGTTTTAAAAAAAATTTAATTAAAATAATATATAAACTTAAATCTATTAAATCTTTTAAAATTTTGTATTAATTTGTAGTGATCAGGTGATATTGTTATTAAATTAAAACAGCATTTACTAATTATAAATGGAAAAACTTACAGCAATTCAATGAACCCCCCAACCCACACCACTATCTTAAAATGAATTATAGATTTTTTTTTTGTGTTTGCATAAATGTGTCTATTTTTGTAAATACAAATGCTCATACATCACATTATCAGAAAGTTATTAAGGTATTTATAATAAATTTAAAATTTATTGGTAATTTTCTAACATCTTCTTAACAAGTGTTTTCATAAGTAAGGCTATAAAGTTAAAGACTTAAAATTCAATAAAATATTAGATTGCTTAAAATATTTTCTTAAATTTTCAAGATTACTGGGTAGTTAAATATATATATATATATATATATATATATATATATATATATATATATATAAAGTGTTCATGTTGTAGTTGTCAAGTAATTTATTCCAGTTCTGTACTCCTTACTTAAATTAACTAAATGTTAAGCTGTCAATAAATCACTCAACATGTCAGAAAAACACCTCCACCGTGTTAAGAAACATATTTTTCTACAGTAAATTAAAATAAAAGTAACATTTGTTTTAATTCATATTAATTAAATTTGAAATAAGCTAATTTTCCTCAAATAACTTTTCAAAAAGATATCTTTTATTTTTGAAAGATTCTTTTAATAAAGAGAATTAATTTGTGTCAACTGTCAATAGATCTGAGAATATAGACAAATTTATAGATTTTACTGATAAAGAGAGAAAAAAAGATTTTAATCAATATAAATTTGGTTTGAAATATACCAAAGCATTTTTTTGCTTATTAAGAATATTGTAAATTTAATCTATTAGCTAGGAATTAAAAAAAATTAAAACTAAAATTGAAACTTAAAAAGATTTTTTAAATGAATTTTAAGCTTAGGTGTCATTATTTTTGCCGGTAAAAGTGATAGAAATACTAATAAACTACTAAATATATTTGCTTTTAAAATAAACAATAAGATTTTGCTTTCAAAAGGTTAAATTTGTACATGTAAAAAAATATTTAGCATCCAGGTGATTTAACTATTTTAAAACTGGTAATGATTTCCCCACTAGCACCGGTAAATTAATGCACCGCCTTAATCAAGGCTTGTTACTAAGGCAACTCAAAACGTTCTATCATTGGAAATTAAGGCAAATTTAAAAGTTGCTGTCACGTATTTTTAGTACATTGCCTGGGTTCAATAGGATCGTCAGTAATCGATTTCTAAAGAAATAACTTAGTTCAAACCTAGCTATTTTTAATAATTTTCGTGAAAAGGAACTTACAGTGTTTTTGAATGATCCCTAATTCAGCAATCGACAACGAGAAGGAAAAAACGAACAGTTGTTTTGAAAACCTTAAAAAAGTAAGGTTTGTTTGCAGTTTATAAAATTACGCTTTCAACCTTTGATTTTTAAATTAAGTCTTCTTATCTCCTGGCAACGTAACTATGATCCTTCATCTCTCTCTGCCTGTAAAACTCATAATTTATTCATGAAAGAAAGAATCAGTAGCAGATTAAGAAAATAGGTTTCTCTAGTTTAATTTTTGAATGCTTTATTTATTTATTTTAAAATATACGCAGTGCTGGATTAGCCTAGTAACAAATGCTACCTGCCCCGCATTTTCCTATCGCATCACCTTGGCTTACTTCTTAGCCTTTTAAATACTTTCACGCTCTCTGGTGAAATTGGCATCTTATCTGACAATGTTTGTTAATGTTTTCATACCATGGAGAATTGGAGCTGTATGTACTTGAATTATTCACCATTTAAGATTGAGGACATAACTCTACTCAAATATCACGTTTAGAGAATTTGGGGGGGGGGTATTTTACCTGTTGTTAGTGTTTTGTTTTGGAAGGTCTGTTATTATGTCAGTAAATAATTTATTATTTTTAAACATATGTATTTTCTTTTTTAATTTAGAAAATTTAAAAATGTTACAGGCCGGCAGCTTAATCCGGTATGATGCACGAACAAAATAAGCGTAGAGACAAGCAACAATTTTGTTTTTGTCATTGATTCTTGTCTAACTCTAAATCAAAATTCTCATTCTTGTTAAAATGTTCCCTGTAAACATTTAAATTATTGAGTAAAAATAAAATGCACGCATAATTTCATAGCTACTCCCATGCCGATTTAGGCAAGGTGTTACGTACCATACGAGGTCTTTGTTTCACTTTTTCAGTGTACTTTAAAAAAAAAACAATGCTACAAGTAGATAACAGCGATAGAGGAATTCAGATTAAATATATTTTTAATTTTTGTTTTTGTATACAACACTAGACTCTGATTGGTAGTTTTGTTCGTCCTCCTATGATATGGGTTATTTGAGGAATTGAATTTTTAGTACATTTACCTACTCAATGAAGATTGAAGAATAATATTTGTTTGTGACTAACTCAGTGGTTTTATTGTGTGGAGATCGAAACGATAAGGGAGAGTAAGAGCGACACTTGCTATGAGACAATTCTTCGAGCAATCATGTGTAGTCTCCAATCAGAAATGGAAACTCTGCTACTCGAAAACAACCCAAAACGGATAAAAATAGATAAGTAAAATAAAAATAAAACCCAAATTGTTGCAATTGTTTGTTGATGACTTTTTTTTATTTATTTCACCTTCTTGTAAATTTGTTTATCGGAAGCAAGCAGCTTAATTTGTTTGAAAAATAATGTGTGTGGGTTCCATCATTCAAAAAAGGGCCTTGTGCCACATTGTATATTTGTAGGCGGATGGATAAAAAAAATAAAAATACATCTTCAGATTCCACCTACACACACTTGTATTCAGGGACTTTAACACAGTGTTAGAACAAAAGCTCTGAAGGTGGAAAAAACAAATGGAAAACTATTGTTTCATCTCAATCTCAACTATTGTTTCTTATATTGGTTTATGCTTGTAAAATTTTACATCCCTAACCTGTAGCTTAGAAATATTATTCTTACAAAATTCAGATAATTCAGATAATAATTTCTTGGTATGCAAAAATTAAATTCAACAATAAATGTGGCTACGACACGTAATTACTTTTTAGTTTTTCTTAAATAAAACAAAAAAAGATAATACCTTTTTCTTAAATTGACACCAATTAATTAAAATTTTGTCATTAACGAAGTTGGGCTTTTTTCCTATTTTTTTGCACTTTAACTTGAGTGGGTTTTATTGTGAGGGAGACACTCGCGAACAAAGAAGGTATTTGCTTCTTTAACAATGTCAAATGAAAATGGGGAAAATATTTTCATTAAAATTTGAATTACTTAAATTTAAAATAATATATGACACGCTATAAATAATCAATTTTTCTTATTTTCTTAAAATATTTTTAACAGCACTTAATTATCATTTTGAAACGTAGAAAAATATCAAAACGACTAAGAAAACAAAAGTAGCTAAATGAATTTTATAATCACTAGTAGAAGACTAAGAAAAGTTATGCAATGATCGTTTCGCTTTGTCAAAAAACCCTAAGGCTATCAATGCCTCGACAAGATATGATTTGACAAAAAATACCACTAAGTAACTATATTGTTTGACTGTAAGTTTTTTTGGGTTTTCTTTTGTCTCATGGGGAAAAGCCCTGGGACTACACTAAACCCCTTGAGACTAATAAAATTTAAAGCATAATTTTTACTTTTCTAATTAGTAAAAAAATGGTGTTAATGAATACTTCTTCAACATAAACTTAAAGCAGGTGCATCATTGGCTAAAAAAATCCTTTCAAATCACTCAACAAAAGAAATAAAGAAAACACTTGTAAAAAAATAACAAATATATTTCAATTATTTTTTCTTCTTAGTTTTTTTTTTTTACAAAAGAAACCAAAGCATATTTGCATATATTTACTTTACTTATTTATTACGGTTGGGTAGTGTTATGGGTTCATTGATTTTTTTTTTTTTTTTGTAAATAAAAATTCCAAAGAAAGCACAAAACCTAAAGAATAAAAAAACAATGTACAGTGTAACCCGGATATAAGAGAGTTGTCGGGACCGGAGAAGAACTCTCTTATATCCGGGTTTCTCTTATATCCGGGTTTGGTCTATTTTATATACATTCACAGGCTCTAATTTGGGACCAGAGAAAATCTCTCTTATATCCGGGTTTTTCTTATATCCGGGTTACACTGTAATTAGCAAAATTTGGTCTTATGTTAAGACTAGGAGTAAGAAGACCAAACATCCTTTGAGAGTAAGGTCCGTGTAACCACAACAACAGAATATCTCATTATTAAGCTGAGAAATTATGTTGCATGGCAGATAAATCTATCTGATCATTCTCAAATAAACAATTTTGACCATTTTTCGCCAACTATTTCTATCATCCATAGTTCTACTCAGTTTTTCCTTTCTGATCCTGGTGTTGTCGAGTTGATCAATAAATATTCTTTCTGGGTTACTTCTTCATCTTTTCCTGTAATTTGAATTCCAGAGTATAAGAAAGCTGATGTACAACTTCTTGTTTACTTTCTCCATCAATGGAGTGGCTCAGAATGAGAAATTGGAGAGCAGAGATTGTATCCCAGTCGGGTTTGTTACATTCATTTACATGCAAATACCTTTGCGAAAGGTATGAATTCACTACCTCCCTCCAGCTATGGGTTAAATAGTATGACTTTTATCTGGAAAACCATTGTTATCTTCAAAAAATTGCTAATGCAGTATTCACTTGTAAAAAAATAAAGAATTATTATTACAATCCCCAAAATATGTTTTAGTTTTAAATAACCCACTAAGGGTTGATTAGCTTAAAAAAAAAGTCTCCATTAATCATGGCCACTAAACACTTGCCTTTCACAGATTGTGTCCATAATCTTTGTTAGGTTCCCATATAATTTTTCATTGGATGTATGTTGTTTGCTGTTGACATTTAGTGCTGCTCTCAATATTCTAATGTGGATGCCATGTAGTTTATTTTTTTTTTTGCCAGCTATTTCATTATAGTGATATTTATAATACAGAATAGCTATTTCTAAATGATAAGAAAGTCAATCTTTCTGATTTCAACTTGATTTATAAACTAAAATTTTGAACATGTTTATTATATAACTGAAATGCATTTAGGATGTGCAGATTATCATGTGGAATCAGTGGGTCAAGTTCAAGGTCCAGCAACTTGGCTGGATTCACTTTCACACAAATACCCTTGGAAATGGCACAAATCCAGCTATGGGTTAAATGGCAGGGTAGACTGGTCTTTCTAGCTTTGTGTGGTCTAAGAGAAGGACTACTTTGAATTGCAAACTATAGAGATGAAATGACACAACTAATTTTCCCACAAAGGCATGACTATTTACATATACTAACGAAATCTGTGGAGTGTCATAATTGCTTATGCCCTGAAGTGATATGGCATTAAAAAAAAAAGGAAAAGTACATTTATAACAATCATTGTATTTCTGTTTTGATGACAAGATCTCTGTACCAATTTCTCCTGGAATGTACATACGGATCAATTTTCTTTTAATAAGAAGTTCTGAAAAGTTTTCTTTTATAAAATAAACAAATACTCTAAACCAGAAAAATTTGAACCATAACTTATGAATTGCTTATATTTTTATGGCTAAGTTATAACACTCCAGATTTATCCCAATAATCCATATATATATATATATATATATATATATATATATATATATATATATATATCATACTTATTATAAAACCCAGGTTGTGTGTGTGTCTGTATGTTTATATATTGGATCGGATTTCCTACATTTTTCAACCGATTTCAACAAAACTTCACAGGACTACATAAAATTAGCTTGTGGTAGTTCTGACAGCACCAAAAATTGGAAAAACACAATTGTTTTTGCACGAAATCAATTTGAAAACATGATTAAGAGGCATCGCTGTCACAAGAATGGAAGGGGGACAATTCATATCGAGTTATACTTATTATAAAACCCAGGTTGTTTGTGTGTGTGTGTGTGTGTGTGTGTGTGTGTTTCCTTTATATATGGGATCGGATTTCCTACATTTTTCAACCAATTTCAACAAAACTTCACTTTTTTTTGGCAGGTAGTGTTTCTTATTGTCTTGCACACTTTTTTCTTTATTTTTACATTCAGAATGCTTTAAAAATTCCATTTACAAGGCAATTGTTTATAATAAAATTCTATTCAATCGGTAGACTCAACGATTGAAAACAATGTTTTTGTTTGCATTTGGGTTTGACCAATTCGTAAAAAAAAAACAAACAAAAAACAAAAAAAAAAACTAATTAAGACATGCGTGTCCGTCAACCTTAAACAATAATCTTTGTCAATTTTATTTTTCAGTCTTTATGATGGTCGATACTTGATCTATCTCTTACTGTTACAACGCTGGGCTCTACTGCTAGTATATATATATATATATATAATTAATACAAGTAAAAACATTATCACTTAGCTGATTGATGTTACCTTCAGCAGCCCTGACTCCAGAGTTTTGTAAATGGGTCTGTCCGTCTACTCATCAGGAGGTATCAGAAATTGATTGCTTCTACTTCACGATTTTTCTTTTTTTATATGCAATTATCAGTGGTGCAAGTTTTTTTGTTTTTTTTACATAGTGTATAGGTGCACGTTCGCACACATATTCTATATAATTATGCAGCAAATGTTCTTTAAAGTAAATATAATCAACTAGCTTAAAAGCTGCCCTATCAGGCAGCAATTAAATTTGAAGGGCTGTTGATTGGGCCTTCAGCTTGTTCAGGAGTTTGAGATTCCCTAAGTCTTTGCATATTCTCAGCATTGGAAGCTTTCCTGGTTGCCGTTTGATCTGGGCTTTCATTTACACAGGGCTTTCTTTTCCTTGCTGCAGCCTTGGCTCTTTTGATTGCAATCTGGTCCTCTGTTGGTGGTGATTTCTTTTTGCGAGGTATACTGTTGCCATATATGATAGGCAACAATAAACCACAGAAGAATTGCTGCATTTAAGTATTGCATTAATATTTAAGCTTACCTTTTAAAAGTTCAATGATTTCTTCTGCCACCACTTAATTTAAAGACAATTTGATGTATGTAGATCCTTACTTTCCATACAAACAATTATTTTTATTTCATTGGTGACTTTCATTGGATTTCACAATTAATTTCAATTATTTCTAAATTTATTTTCAAGTTATAAAAATTGTTATAGTATAAAAAATTTGTTGCAAAAAATCATGTAAAAAGATCAGTAATGAAAACTTGGGAATCCAAAATTTCAGGATTGTGGGTCTGGATCCATTCCAGAATGTTTTTAATTTGTTCATGGAGTTGGCCTGATTCCAAAATGGTATGATATGTTGGGCTATGACCTCTGGGAGTAAAGTTGAAAAAGTGTGACACATTGACATTTGCATTTATTTATATAGAAGACAACATATATTTTGTCTTGACTAATTTTGAAAGAAAAGCACAAGAAATAGGATATATCACAACCACACTCTCACAGAGACTTACCTGCCACCTATAAGACCATAGTGCCATCAGATAACACACTAATAAGCAGCATAAGGACAATAGTAACATTAGACAGCTACTAACAAGCAATACCAAAATACTAGCAATGTCAAATAGTAAAAACAGACTTATGATCCTTGAAAGCAATACTCATACAACAAAAACACCCATTTAATAAATAAAAACAATTATAACTTAAGAGTCTGCTTCCTCAAATGCATATAAAAATCAAAAACCTGTTGCACCTCGCTTGCATCACAATACACTTTGCCTATGTTATAACACTCACTAGTTCTATGAAACTCACCAATTGTCCCTACCTATCCTGATGATGACTTAAAAAAAGTCAAAAGCTTAGACCATATTTTTTGTACTATTCTTCCAAAATGAACTTTGGACAATTTCTGATGGAATTTCTTCCTTGTCTGAGAAGGATAATTTGTAACTTGGAAAGGTCAAGCATTAAAATTAATTGATGCAAAATATCTGTTGTCTTTAATAATATATATTGTCTAATCAGGTTTTGTCAAGGCATATATGAATGGCCTCATTCATAAAGAGAAATGGTCACTACTTAAATCTTGTGATTATAAAATTTATTTTTAATCTTATTACTAAAATTGTTTTAGTTTTTGATATTTTTCCACCTTTGAAAATGACAATTATTAACATTGCTAAAAAAAATTTAATATAATTAAAGAAAATAATAAACATTGGTTATTATTTATAGCTTGTCATATATTAATTTAAATTTAACAAGTATTAAAATTTTAATGAAACATATTATTTATCTATTCCTTTTATGTATATAAGAGTACTCTATTTTAAATATTTAAAAAAAAGCTTTTTAATAAATATAGAAATAACACTCTTCATTTATTCACCTATTAAAAATGGTGTTTCATGTTTAGATTTTTCAAAATCCCTAAGCATGAAACAGTGCTATTAATAGGTAACTAAATTAAAAATGTTATACATATATGTGTGTGAAATTATTTAGTTAATTTCCTGTTTCTTACCATTTGCAACCTCAAGTTTTATGCTTTTCATCATTTTTTCTCATCCTGTGTGAATGCTTCCTTATGTGTCCGAGCAAATCATTAATATTGGCTGTTATTGCAACTAGAGTAGCCTATTCAGCTTGAGAGTGATTGATATTTTAATAAAAAATTTTTTTCTTTCTCTTTCCCCTTCTTTCTTTCTTTCAATCTCTGTACATGTTAGCACCACCTTCTGTATATAATAAATGTGTCACATGTATCCTTACTTGCTGCTTGAAGATTGCTGTTTTATGAAACTTATGAAAAGTTGCAAAAAGTAAGAAATGAGAAATTAAGTAATGGTGTCAATCTCTATTTTATATATCGACCACTTTCATTTCTTTTATTCTATTCACACTAAATTTTGTCCTTTATAATTTTTACTTTTTTGAACTGTTTTATTTTTTCTTGCTGTGAATTAAATTATATTTTATTCTGTATATTTTTCTTTTGAAAATTTTGTTTATCAAAAAGGACAGATGGCACGTCCACAGCCAGTAACAGCCACAGTCACTAAGCCTGAATGGATGAAAGTTCAGGGAACAAGATATCGGACACACTCATTTGACTCTACAGGATCCACTGCATCATTAGTGTCAGTCCTTGACCATGATAGTTATGTGGAGTCTGATAGTGAAAAGCAGGAAGTAGCCTCACCAAAATCCTACAGTGACCAACATCAGGAAGTCCAGAATACTTCTTTTGAAGATTATACTCAAAGTGAGTATTCTAAAGAGGAATCAACAAATGTAGAAAGGTGAGTAAAATGTCCTGTGAGAAATTTAAAGTCAAAATAACTTGCTATTATTTTTATCCAAATGAACAAAACAGTTGACATTTTGTAGCAAAATATACAGGAATCCCTCGATTAGTGCAGCTAATATATACATCAGTAACTATAAAAAAAAATCAATTTTCAATTACTATGGTTAAACAGAAAAATGTTTTACCGCATTTATCAAGTATTATGTATGCACTAATCGAATTTTGGTCTATAAAATTTTTAACACATTAATCAAAAACACATTAATCGAGGTATTCCTGTATTTTATTCTGTAACACATTTGATTGAGTACCAGTTTTTTTTATACAAAAATGATATATTTAATATTCTTATTACAGCATATGAAAAGTATTTTAATTTTTTTAATCAACCCTTTTTCATTATATGTTTTTTAAGCTTATTCAATACTCTACATAGTATATCTTTCAATGATCTGAGCTATTCTGAAAATTTTTAAGTGGTAATGATTGGTTCTTGCATTTTAAAGCAAGCATCATAATCAATAACTGATGGTTGTCCATCTTTGGGCTTTATTTCAAGGGACAACTCACCAGTCTTAAAATGCTAAACCTAGTGTTGGGTTATGCGTCAAATACTGTTTTATTTCTTATCACTTTTTAAATTCTGTGAGCAGCTTTAGAAATATCAAGACTTAAGTCAGAGCTGGTGGTTTGAATATTGTGTGAGTCCCGGGGTAGTGTGAAAATGCTATCGATTATATGTTCACAGACGTGGCACTGGGGTTTATTGCAGGTGATGTTCCCTTGGTGAGGTGGTGAATTATGTATGCCAAATCTAACATCATCTTGCATACTAAGGGAACATCACCTACAATAAACCCTGATGTCAAGTCTGTAAACCTATCATCACTGATAGCATTTTCATTCCCACCCCAGGACTCACACAATATTCAAACCACTGGCCCTGACTTGTGACTGTTCAAATCTTATATAGTTATTTATCTACCACAAATGCTAAAAAGGGAATTATGTTGGAGAAACAGGCATGGAATTCTGTCTTTGGCTCAACAGATATTGTGTTTCGCAAAAAAATCTGTTAGCCAGTGTATTATTGGAGAATAATGCCTTTAAGACAAGTAGTCTTTGTAAGTAAAGAACTCAATATTAAGAAATAAGATATTTAATTTTTGGCAGTGACTCAAATCTTGTTTTCTTTTTCTTTTCTTTGACAGCAATTTATGAAACTTACCTAATTGATAAGTAATATAAAATTTGGTTGTATTTACTTCTTGCACTTCAAAGAAAACTATACACACACATTCAGTTTTCTATCTATACCTATAAATGGATGCATACTTGTCAGTTTTTAGCTCTCAGACTTTTATAATTTAAAAAAAAAAAACTAAACCAATTTGCATAATTCTATCAATGTTACATATGTTTCTACTTGAGAAATATCATTTATTTAGTACTAGCTTAAAAGCCACCCTATTGAGTGACATTTAAACTAACTCCTGCGGAGGGCTCTTGATTGGGCCTTTATCACAATAAGTAGAGAGGAGTAGATGCAATAGGCAACAATAAGCTGCAGAAGAACTCAAAATTAATTGCTGTATTTAAATATTGCATTAATATTTAAGCTTACCTTTTAAAAGTTTAACGATAATTCTTCTGCTACCATTTAATTTAAAGACAATTTGATGTACATAGATCCTTGCTTTCCATACAAACAATTATTTTTATTTCATGGGTGACTTTCACTGGATTTCGCAATTAATTTCAAATATTTGCAAATTTATTTCCAAGTTATAAAAATTCTTATCGCACAAAAAATTTGTCATAAGAAATCGCTGAAAACATTTGCAATAATGAAAACTTGGGAGTCAAATATTTCAGTATTGCAGGTCCAGTTGTGGCCAGGAATGGTTTTAATTTGTTCATGGAGTCGGCCTGATTTCAAAATGGTATGATATGTTAGGCTATGAACTCTAGGAGTAAAGTTGAAAAAGTATGACACATTGATATTCACATTCATTATATAGATTTACCTAATTAATAAGTAATAGAGGAGGATGCACTACATTATTAGTAGACTTTTTTTTTTATACACTATGTCTCTTCAGGATGTGGGCGATCATGGTTCTCATAAATTCTTCTTTTAGGTGCTGTGTCTCTTTAGGACATAGGTGATCATGGCTCTCCACTTCCTCCTATTCCTTGTAGTTCTCAACATATTTTGTCCTTTTTGCTACTTCAGACAGATCCTGTTCTGTCATCCACTTACTTAAGCCTACTAGGTATGTCATGCTTTGCTTTCCCTTGTCTCTCTTTCCCTCTATCCACCCTATGTGTATCAGATTCTCTAAGCCCTCTTTTCTCATTATGTGTCCCAGAAATTTCAGCTGCCTCTTCCTGATGTCAAATATAAGCTCCCTCCTTGTTTGCATCCTCTCCAAAACCTCACCGTTGCTCATATGTTTGGTCCAGGGTTTCCTTAGCATCCTTCTGAAGAAGCATATCTCAGTTGCCTCAACTCTCTTCTTCAACTTTGAGGAGACTGTCTAACATTCGCTGCCATATCAGAGGACAAATATCACATAGCAGTTCAGTACTCTTTTCTTTGTTACCAACGAAATCCTCCTGTCTCTTATTACTCTGCTTAGCTTTTGGAATGCGTCTTTGGTCACCCCAGTATGTCTTTGTATCTCAGCATCTCACTTACCGTCCTCTGTCAGAACACTTTCCAGATATTTAAATTTCTACACCTGCTTAATTTTAGTGTCCCTGTGTAAATCACATTTTGGACCCATCTTTTTACTAATGACTGTGCATTCTGTCTTCTCGTAGTTTATGCTTAGTCCCTTCTTCTCACTCTCCTTCACTACCTTCTGTAGAAGGTTTTGTAATTTCTTTTCCATGTCTCATGAATTACTATCTTTTTTAGGTCTTCCTTTGTCTGTCTCTTTTTTTTTTATCCCTCTCACTCTTCGGCTATTCATTTACACCAGCTTGTTTGTTAAGTTACTTGTCTTTTCCCTCTGCCACTCATTGATATCTCCTGAGTGAGTGAGTGTCAAATTCTCCAAACCCTCTTTTGACATTATGTGTTCCAGAAACCTGAAATTTACATTGTATATATTGTAATATAAATAAGTATATCCTAAAAAGATTTCCATCATTTAGTTAATACTAATTTTATTATGAAAACATTGACATACATAATAAAATCTGATTATAGTGTAGCTAAGTAAATTAATGGAAATGTTGTACATAGAACTTTCTAAGATCAGGTTCAAGGATGTGCAATATGAAACCTCAAGCTCATAAAATTCTAAAGATAACTGCTTTTAAGTTTGTATGCAATTTGCAGTATAAATCTCTTTTTACTGATTTTAAGAGTAATATTTTGGCTTGCTGTAATAGTATGTACTGAGGTTTATCACTCTGACTTGGGCACCAGATTGGAAAGTGAACAGGATGATTGTGCTCATGTCTGTCATTTCTGCTGCAAAATTAGAAAGGATGTCTGAGGAATAGGAAGATGAATTAGGTCTGACAGAACTAAAAATAGAAGTTATTTATTTGAGCAGCTCTTCTAGAGTAGGGAGTTTGTCAAGAGTTCTCTTTGTATGTGCCGTCTCCCTTCAGGATGTGGGATGATCTTGGCTTTCCACAGCTCACTATCCTTTGTATATCTAAACAATGTTTATTTCCTTACTCTCCCTCCCTCTCCCTGTTCTGCCATCTATTTACACTAGCTTGTTAGGTTACTTGCTTTTTCCCTCCAGTATTCAACATGTCTTGTGTGTGTAGAATCCTCCAAGCTCTGATGTATCCCAGAAATTTCAACTGTCTCTTTCTGGTCCTAAGTAAAAATGTCCTTTTTGTTCCAATTTACCTTAAAAGTTTTTCATTACTCAAATGCTCTGTCCATGGTATTTACAGCATCCTTCTGTAGAAGCATATCTTTAGTGCCTCAAGTTTCCTCTTCATCTGTAAAGAAATTGTTCAGCATTCCCTGCCATATACGGACATTGATACTACATAGCTGTTTAGCATTCTTTTATTTGTTTCTAAAAATAACATGTCATTTTTTTTTCTTCTTAATCATTTCACACCAAGCAAGGCAACAGAGCCACACTGGGGATTACTGAGTGTGAAAGGATATAAGAAAAACATTATTATGGAGCGGAATAATAAAAAAACAGAATTTAAGAGGACAGAAGATAATGATTGACATTGTGTTTAAATTTTTGAAGATCAAAGTTGACTGGAAAGCGAGAAGTGCAAGAAAAGAAACTGTTTGCATAGACTTATGATTACATCTAACAATTTTGACTGTAAAATGATGAGATCTTGCTACTAATCTAGTAATGTGCTTAAATTCATAGTCTAGGTACCAAAGAGGAGAGTTCATCACAACATTTACAATGAAAGTATTTTTAGAAAAGGCACAGGGAAGTTACATTGGTGAGAAAATGACTGAAGCTGAGACACCTGGTTAAGACCAATAATATTGCAAATTCTTCTTTGGATTTTATGAAGGATCTCTAAATGTATACCAGACCATATGTGGCAGCAATATTTAAGCATGGACAAATGGTAGACTTGTAGATATGTAAGACCGATTCTGGCAAGAAAAATTGTTCAGCATGATACAATGAACCAACCTTCCTGGCAGTAGACCTAATAATTGATTTGATATAAACTTTCACTTCATGTCAGTGGAAAATACTAGCCTGAGAAGGTGCAATGAGTCATTCTCCTGGAGGCTAGCACCAACCATGATAATGAAAGGCAGAATGTGTTCTCTCAGAAGATTAATAAAGAGCAGTTTTGCTTTGGTGGTGTTAAAATTAAGAAGCCATCTTTTTCTTAATATTTTGTTTAGCTTTTGTAAGGCTTTTTTCACTATTTCAATGCACCTTCAGATTTCAGTGTCACATTTTTTCTTGTCAACTGTTATAACACTTCACAAATAGTTAAAATTTGTAGCTTGCATCTTCAGTTGCTCTTGCTAATGATCATACATTCTGTCTTACCATCAATGGTTAGTTCTTTCTTTTTTCTTTCTTTGCTGCCTTGTCTAGGGAATTATGCAGTTTTATTTTTTGTTATCAAAACAGTGGCATCTGGACATCTGAATAACCTGAGATATGGGGATGACATTGTGTTGATGGGAAAAAAAAAACATTATGCTGACCAATAATAAATCATGTTAGGACTTCTATTTCTCTATTAATTGCAACCTTTTCTTTCACTCCTTTCTATTTTTGTGTACTTTATTTTTTATTCATTTTTGTGTACTTTATTTTTTATTCATATTCAGGCAGTTTGCTCCCAGTATTCTGGATTATTCTAATATCTTTCCCAAATAGATAAAATTTTCCTAGCAGTCCAAATAGATCTTTGTGTCATACCTTATCAAATGCTTTTGTCAAGTCTACGAAACATAAGAATACATCCTACATGTATTGCTTGCTCTGATATCTTACTCAAATCATTTTCTATCCATATGTAAAAGTTTGATTCCCAGTAAATATTCTGGATTATTCTATCTTTTCAAATAAATCAAGTTTTCCTAGCAGTTCAAACAGATCTACTTGTTTAAAATTTTATTATTTGCATGTCACCAAATAATATATGTTTTTATTACTTCTAACATTATTTTTAGTGGATACCTATATTTGAAATAGATGATCTGTTTTTATTTTTAAACAGCCCGCATTACATCTATTGGTCTGTGCACTCAAAAAATCTTAATAAAGAAAATGGTGCTCTCTGGGAGGGTTTGAACCTGCGATCTCCTCTGTACGAGAAACCACCATTTGACCCAGCATGCCTAAAAGGGTAAATAGAACCTTGCCGGGCAATTCACTCTCTGTGGCCAAACAGTCTACGGTCCACTGGATCAAACAGTGGTTAATCAGATGTTGTGCTCCCAGCCGGAAGTGACAGCAGTCACCCTACATTTAATAAATGCAGTTGCAATGCGGATCCACCCACCCACGGGAAAATGTCCCACCAGCTTTCCACATAACGAAAACACACTGCGTTGGGTCATGTGTTTGGGAATGTCTGGGAGCTCGCTTCCACGTTTCCAGTAAAGCATGACCCGACACAGTGTGTTTTCGTTATGTGGAAAGCTGGTGGGACATTTTTCGTGGGCAGGTGGATCCGCATTGCATGTATAAGTGGATATCAGACGCTCTTACGGGGAAGGCTAGGATACGTACAAAGGCTGCGAGCAAGATGCTCATTCGAAGGCGGCTAGACACACTGGGAAAGTTGGTAAGTAAATACCACTTATCCGTAGACATACAGCTGGTCAGATCACAGCAGAACAAGGCCAATACTTTAACAAGGGTACCCCAAAAATGGCTTGACACTATTAAGAAAGAGGTAGAGCCGGTAGGACATGTCTGTGTAACATCAGCGAGCAACCATAACTCTATAAGATTTTTGCTGACTACTTTTTGGTAATCCTTCTTCGGCAGATCGCACACAAAACACAAACTTTTTTCCGGGATACCTGATTACCTCGTTCACTACATCAGACTCACCAAAATTCAAGCATAAATACACTAATAAAACAACACAAACCAACTATCAATATTTTACATACACAAACATATAGATAAAAAAGGGGGATCAAATAAAGGTAAGAAGTGCAAATACATGTATATGTACGATGCATATATATACATAGTTGAAATATGTATATCAGCTTATAAACAAAGCAAAGAAATATATATATATATACTATTTCTTTGAATAAAACAATATATATGTATAGATGATGTGTGTGTATGTGTGTGTGTGTATATATATATATATATATATACACACACTACAAACACACACACCCAATACACAAAAATGGAGAAAAGTTTAAAAAGACACAGAGGACATAAGATGATAAGAACAAAGACCTCATTTCTTCCCCTTTCTCTGACCAATCCTAATTGTTTTATTACCCCTTAAGCAAATGGAGATTTTTCCACCAGTCCAAGAAGAATTTGGATTATTACCACACACAAAAGACAATGGTTAAACATAAAAAGATTAATTCCTTTAAATAATATGTAGAAATAGCCATGTAGAAATATACCTGTGTAGCAAAAAATATGGAAAATAAAGTATAATATATATATATATATGTAACTACACATTATAACCAAAAATGTTTGCAGTTTCTCTTTTCTCTTTAATATATATATATATATATATTGTAGTAACAGGTAGCATTTTAAATGCTATTTATGTTGCTTTGTATAAATTACAGTAAAAATCCTAAGAATATTCCAAAATCTGATATTTTCAGGAGTCATCCACAAGAGTCCTTTACTGATAACTCGTGTTCCCATGTGAGCCAGAAGTTCATTAGTCCATGGGAGAAATGGCTGATTGAAAAAGAGAAACAGAAACGTGAGCAATTGCACAAGGAAAGGGCAAAGAAGACCCTTGAGAATGTTACTCAGATTGACATGGAACACATGAAGCAACAGAAAAAGATTAAGGAAAGTGAGAACACATTTCGCTGGATCCAAGGAAAGAATCTAGCTGAGAAGCTTCGGATTCAGCAGGAGAGAGAGAGACTGAAGGCAGCAATGCAAGAAGAGGCTCGTAAGAAGCTTGAGATGAGTGAAAAGGCTAAAAAAAATTTTACTGCGTGGTTACAGAAGAAAAAAGAAGAGGCGAAAGCAACAAAAATGGCTGAGGCTGAACACAAGAAAGAAGAAGAGGAAAAGAAAAAGAAGAAGCAAGCTTTGGCTGAGGAAAAATACAATGAATGGTATAAACGTGCCATGAAAACACAAGTGAAACCTGCCACCAATGGCATGGGATATCTTTCAGGGAAATTAACAGGTAAGAAAATGACTTGTTGACTAAGGCAAGTTTATTATCAACTGATATATTTGAACTAGTATTCTTAACTTAGTTGTTACAATCAGAAGTTAACCCAACAAAGGCTTCTATGATTTTTTTGATTGGTGTTCCTGTAAATCTTACTTGCTATAAAATTAAGGATTATGAAGAAGTAATTTCATACGAGCAATTGTTTTAGGCAAATGTTGTTTTTCTCTCTAGGAAAGGAGTACTTAAAATTGTGATTGGCTGGTGAAGCATAGTATTATCTTAAATGTTCTTATAAGTTTCTTTTTTTATAAAGAAAAAATTAGCATAAGGGTGGAACAAACTTTTTAATCCATAAATTTGGGAGATAAAAAATCCTGTTCTAACTATTCAATAGAACAGTAGCCTTTTCAGGCTACTGACTGTTTTTAATTTCACTTAGTTGAAATTGTAAAGTCATTTTTCTAATCTTGTTTTATTCAGTGTTTCAAACATCCAAACCTGTTTCTGTCTTGTACTTGCTGATTGATTTTGGGATATTGGCAATTTTTTTTTTCTAATTTAAAAGTAGTTCTATTTGTCAATTCTTTAATTTTTTTCTTCATGTACCAATAAATTCAAATCATTTAAAATCCATTTCTTTTAAATCCTTGCTTATTTTTTTAAGAAAGTTGTCCTTTGTAATAATTTTTTGATTTTATTGACAAATTATCAATTTGTAAATTTTAAAGCAATGGACAGAGACTTTTTTAGATAGAAATCTTTATTTTATTATAGAAATACAAAAAAAAAAACAAATGTATTACAGCAGCAACAATAATAACAAAAGTTTTTGGAAAGAAAAATAATTCAAATATGTTATATTCTAAAAGAAAAAGAAATTCACTCATATATGACATCTCTTCAAAATTCTCTCCATAGATAAATCATTTTAGGAGGTAAATTTCAATGGATTAAGTTTTTCATGGAAAATATGTAAAATATATTCTTTATTGTTAGGATTATCTCATAAAAATCTCAGAAGTATATTAAATATATAAATGAATATTAAACTAAATGTTCTTTTTTCATTCAAACATAATATCTACCTTTAAAAATGTATTTATTTTATCTCAAATTTTTTGTTATTATTTTTAGACTTAAATCAATAGAAATATAGCTGGTCTGTGTTTCCAGAATTGGCCTTTATTAGCTTTCTTCTTGGTTCACTGAAGTTGTTAAAGTATTGTTACTTTCCTCATCATTTGCTTCCTCTGTGATACTTTGGAGTGGATCCATTGGTTCTGAAATAGATATTTCAGTTTCGTTTGGTGGCATAGTACTGGTGTAATACTCATTAAGTTTTATTATTTCACTTGGGTCTGCTTTGTAGTCTGCTGGAGTTTTGTGCATCTAAACAGAAAATATAATTTTATACTTACAATGCAAAGGGAACAAATTATAATATAAAACTGTTTTTCATTGGCATTCACATCCCAAATTTTTCATGTCAACATTTTGAATTTCAGTGTTTTTCAGATGTATTTTCCCCCCCTGCTATAATTCATGACATATAGAAAAAGTATTTATATACAATTTAATTTATATGAAATATATGTTTATGCACACTGATGAAAAAATATGCTCAGTATTTGCATGTGTTGAATATTTTTAAAATATTTAAACCATAAGCACATACATATTTAAAAAAAATGGGAAAAACATTATAATTCTGTATAGATGTTAATAAGCATAACAAAAAGGAAATTGAATAAAATGCATAATGGTGAAAACTCTGTTTAACTTTATTAATGCATGCATTTACAGCTTTGTGTGTGTTAATCTAATGGATACACAGGAAGTATAACAGCTATTGGTATGGAAAATTAATTTAGCATGCCAGGTTCAATTCCCCCTTGTTTTTGTTTTGTTCATTTCATGCTAATGCCCTTGGAAAAAGCATGAATCGATCTTCCCCCAGCTATAGTTAAACAGCAGAGAAGACATGTCTCTCTTATCTTGAAGTGGCAACCAATCTATGAAAAGGAAAACTCTTAATTCAAAACCAGCCTGAAGAGGGATAAGCTCTATCAGGCTATCTTATTCTAGACACACCACTGCTGCTATGGCTGCAGTATATGTTGTACTCTGAGTTACAAGACTTGTGACGTGATGTATATTAATATGCATGCATTTTATATATATATATATATATTTATATATATATATATATATATATATATATATATAGTGATATGCAAAAGTCTTGGATAAAGGACCTGTGAAAATTTCACAGTTTGCCTATTTTAATTTTCTGAGGAAGCACGTTAATGATTGAATAAACTCATAGTGAGTTCTTCAATGAAATATCTGTAGAAATTCTCCTATCACATCATTAAATATTTGAGCTTAACAACTTTAACAAAATATTGCAATAACAATCATAAATATGAATGCTGGTCATTATCTTATGAAGTAAGAGGAAACAAATGAAAAAATTTAAAATTGACAACTTTTTCCATTTCACTGAATCAAACATTAAACACGAGAATGTTATCACCTTTTCTATCTTCCCTGTCTTTCTTTCCTTCATCCTTTCTTTCTTTCACTGAAACCAAGTAGAGTCTCTGATATACCTTTTCTTTCCAGATAATCAAAACAGAATAGTCCATTACCTATGAGGTATTGGCAGGACATAACGGTCGTGTTAACTAAACAAAGGACAAGCAGAATTATAATATGATTATTGCTACTAACGTAAAATTTGATGAGATGAATATAGTAGATACTTAGAATATATTGTGTATAAAGAGAAGTTCAGAAATATTTACCTACACATAGTTTGAGTTCCGTTGACAGATTTTCTATAGGCTGTAGGTCAGGTGACTGACTAAGCCATTGTAAAATCTTTATTTTCTTTAGTTGAAATCACTCTTTTGTTTTCACTGCAGTATACTTGGTATCATCATCATGCTACAAAACTAACCTCTTAGTTTGAATAATTTCACTGATGGAAATAAGGAATCTATCAGAGTCCAAGAATGCATTCCTAATTGATAGGATTTCAGACTTAATTCTGTTATTGCTTATTTCTGTGCCAGCTGCCTGCAGGCCCTTCTGAAGTTCTAGCTTGTGGCTAGTGGGTGCATTATTTTCCAACTCAATCTAACTGCACGTAAAATTACTTTATGAGGATGTCCTTTTTAAGGTACATCAATAGTCAGGCCATATTCCTTCAAAGAATTGCTACTTTGTGAAACAGACTCCCCCCCGTATGGATGCTTTTCTAAATACTACAATCTTAACCTTTTCAAGTTGTTACATTCTTCCCCAAAAACAAATTTCCTGATTCACACTACACTAATTTTCCACTATGAGCCAGATGTGAATGCTTTGAACACCTAAAACTCAACTAAAAGTCCATCAGCTGTTCAAGGCTCTGCACCAATCTTCCATTTACTCACACACCCAAAGAAATTAAAAAGGAATACAATTTAGAATTTCCACCCACTCCTGCCTAAAGAAACAAAATGAAAGCTGGAGACAATTTGAGCCTCTAAAAGGGCATAAAAGCTGTTGTGGAGTAAATAGTACATACCTGGTGACTATATGAACTAGTCCATAACTATAAATAAAGAGCTCCAGGTCAGAGATAAGAAGAAACTGCTTGGAGTCAGTCTACAGACTAATCAATAAAGACATTATGACAAGTAACCAAAGCATTACTTATAAGTGCTATGAAGTGTGTTATAACAGTGGTGACAAGGGATTCGAAACTCAGGTGATTTATAGGAATGAGGATTCAGAACTCTTACAGCTTATAACAGTAACAAGCATTCAAGAACTCATATGAGTTGTAAATAGAGTTACAAGGATTTTGTAAACTCATACTTAGTGAACAAGTACAGGAAAAACATATACATACTAGTTGTTTGGGAACAAGGATACAGGTGATGACAAGGATTTTAACCATGTTGGTTTAAAAAAAATTTTTTTTTCTTTTTGTGTACGAGAACAAAAAATTCTTTTCTCTTGGATGTAGGAAAAAAACATTCTTGAGAATATGGAACCAATTTTGGATTTGATAGTTAAAATTCAACAACAGCAACAACAACAAAATCAACAGTTGCTAGAAATATAAAAAGAGCAATAGGAGTTGTTGGATATAATTCTGAAGAAAACAAAATATTTTTCAACATCTCTTATGCCAAACGCTGTCCAAAATAGCATATCCGAATTTGTATACAATCCTGATGAGGAACTGACTTTTTCTGTGTATTTTCGTAGATATGAACAAATATTCAGTCAGGAATGTAGTGACTGGGAAGATGAGAGAAAAACGAGATTGTTGTTGAGGAAAATATCTCCAAGAGAATATTAAAATACTGCAACTACATATTACCATAAAAACCAGGTGAAATGGGGTTTGAAGTCACAGTACACATTCTGACAAAAATCTTTAGTGACAAGAGCTCTCTGTTTAATGCTCGTTGGAGGTGCATAAATCTAACCAAAAAAAAAAAGGACAAAGATTTTGTCATGTATACTGGTATTGTCAACAAAGAATGTGAAAAGTTTAGAATAAAGGAAATAGTTCCAGATATGTTCAAAGGGTTAATTTTAATTCAAGGTTTAACAGCTAAACAAGATGGTGAGATACGAGCAAAAATTTTAAGGAAAATTGAATGAAACAGTAATATTACATTGCAAGAAATAGTGGACGATTGCCAGACAATTCTAATTCTGAAATGTGATGTCGAAGAAATTCAGAAAAAGAATGTGCATTGGTACAAACAAAAGACAAATGTACATAAAGGAGAATAAATCTTTGTTTCAGATGTAGTAAACTACATCTTGTAAAATGTAGAATGTTACAAGTGTGGTAAACAAGGACTTATAAAGTCACACTACAAAACTAAACCAAGAAAAAAAATTCTAAAAAAAAAAAAAGTACACAACATTGTGATGGAAAAATGGTCACAGAAAACAAAAGGAAATTTGTGAATTTGAAAATAAATAATGGGTGTGAAAATGCTACTAGACACTGGTAGTGATATTTCAATAATCAGTGAAACCACATGGAAGGAAATTGGAAAGCCTTTATTAAAAAGGACTCCCAAAGTTGTGATTTCAGTTTCTGGTGAGAAATTATTTTTTTATTTTTTATTTTTTTTGAAAAATGACTGGTAATGATTCATTCCATAATAAGCATGTAAAAACTAAAGCTTATGTATTAAAAATGCTACAAATTTATTTGGTACAGACTGAATGGAACTATTTGAACTTTTGGATTTGCTGATAAATGTTTATTGTAAAAACGTAAGTGGACAAGCGACCAATTTAAAAAGTCAGAGTGAAAATCTTAAGGAAGAATTAAAAAAATGTTTTCCAGATGTTTTGTCAAATGAACTGGGACAGTGTTCTAAGTTCAAGGCAGATTTAAAAAAAAACAAACAAAAAAACGGTTTAACAACAGTATTTAAGCCAAAACAGAGTGTACCATTCTTAGCATTGGAACAAGTCAACAAAGAGTTGGACAGACTCAAAAGAACTGGTGTCATAGAAAAAATTAACCATTCAAAATGGGCTGCACCAGTGGTGTATGTCAAGAAAAAAAAAAAAAATTGTGTTTGTGCAGATTTCTTGACAGGATTAAACAGTTGTTTAGAAACACATGACTACCCATTATCAAGTCCAAAGGAAATTTTTTTGAAGTTAAACCGTGGAAAAATATTTTTAAAGCTGGATCTCTCTGAAGTGTATTTATAAATTCAGACTGAAAATGAATGTTCAGAATTAATGACCATAAGTACGCACAGAGGATTATATAAGTTTAACTGACTTCCTTTTGATATAAAGGTGACACCAGCTATTTTTCAACAAGCTATGGATACAATGCTTGCAGATTGCAATTTCACAGTGGCATATCTGGATGACATTTTAACCAAAAGTGTATCTAAAGAACAACATGTTGAGCATGTGAAAACAATTTAGGAATATGCCTTCTCCAACAAATGTAACTATGTTACAAGCTTGTCTAAGACTAGCTAATTACTATCAAATATATGTACATAATATGCAATATTGAGAGCTCCACTGAACGATCATCTTAAAAAAGGAGTACAGTGGAACTGGAATGATAAGTGTCAAAAGGCATTTGATGAAATAAAAATAAAAGACTTATGTCAGATTTATCATTAGCACACTATGATCCAAAAGCAGAAATTGTAGTGGCATCAGATGCTAGTGAGTATCTTATTGGAGTGGTGATTTTACACAAATACAATGGCAGTAAAATGAAAGCCTTTGCTCATGCTTCATGCTCACTTCTCCCATCAGAGAAAAATTACAGCCAGATAGAAAAAGAAGCTTTTTAGCAATTATGTTTGCTGTGAAGAAATTTCATAAATTTATTCTTAGAATAAATTTTAGGTTGCAAATAGACCACAGACAGCTATTAACAATATATAGTTCAAAGAAAGGAATATCTATACATACAGCTAATAGACTACAATGCTGGGGTACCATCTTATTAAACTATGATTTTATGATAGAATATCAACCATCTAAAAACTTAGGATATGCGGATGGATTATCAAGATTAATACCTAAAAATTCAGAACCATTTGAGGAGAGGTCATTGCAGCACTAAAAAGCAAAATGGAAATAAAAAAACATTTTATGCAACATAGTATGAAAGTTAACAGTTACTCTGGAAGAAATAAGAGAAAAAGTAGAAAATGACATCTTTATTGCAAGAATAAAAAAGTAAATTGAAAGAAAGTAACAAAGAATGACATCCAGACTTAAATGCTTACTCACTATGCAATGGTGTAGTAATGTTTGGGCAAAGGGTTGTAATACTTAGTGTATTACATAAGTGAATATTTAAGGATTTTCATAGTGAACATCCTGTTTTTTTAAGAATGAAATCTCTGATGAGAAGTTTCATATATTGGACCAGAATGGACCAAGACATTGAAAAAATTGAGAAAGCTTGCAGAGGTTGTGCTCTGGCAGCAAAACTACCTATTGCAAAGATAGAACCTTGGCCAAAGACAGACATGCTGTGGTCAAGACTGCATATAGATTTTGCAGGTCCTATCAATGGATCACATTATTTTGTGGTAGTTGATAGTTTCACTAAATGGCTAGAAATTTAAAAGTGCAAAAATACATCTTCAGTGACAGTGAATTTCTTGCATGAACAGTTTGCGAGATGTATCATAACAGATACTATAGTTTTTGATATCAGAACACAATTCACAGGAAAAGAATACTAATAAAAAATAAAATATTTCTAAAAAGTATTAATCTCAAAAGGGGGGATTTTGTAAAGTAAATAGTACACCCCCAGTGGCTATATGAACTAGTCCATAAGTATAAAGAGCTCCAGGTCAGAGAGAAGAAGAAGCTGTTTAGAGTCAGTTTTCAGACTAATCAATAAAGGCATCATGGCAAGTAGCTGAAGCATTACTTATATTATAAGTGCTATGAAGTACGTTATAACAAAAGCCCATCAAAGGGACATTCAGTATTTAGATAGTATCTTCACCAGAGTTCACACACTTGTCAAAAAGCAACCTCCCATCTCCAGAGATATTAGACTTGACCAACTTGCCAAATACCATCGCTCCAGTATGTCACAACTTATCCTTCCTCTCCTTCCATACACCTCAGCAGATGCTTTTACACCTTCCCTTATCCTATTTTTTTCATGAGACATCTACTCTGATTTTTCCTTTATTGTGTTTTATGTTAATATAATTGTTTATTGCTTTAAATTTTCATTGTTTTTTCTTTGTTCTGCCACCATATGCTTCTTAAAGCAAAAACACGCATTCATATCATAACAAAGTCTATGGTTAATTGTTATCAGTTATATCCTTGTAATCTTTATATCCTACTTCTTTCTCTTATGGTTTCTTAGGTTTTTTTTGTGTGTGATAGCTCTAATCATAGACAGTGTCTTGAACTTGTTGAAGATTGTTTGATAATCCATTCTAGAAGTGTAATGATTAATTATCACCCCACAAAAATCTTGAGAGAGCTCCTTTGTTCTACCCTTGTGAAAACCTTTGTTTGTGCCATTCAGATCTTCATTCAGTTTACACTTATCTGTTAGTACACTATTATTATATTATTCTATTAAAAGTATTTTTCTTTTACAGCATTTTTTTTCAAGGTTCCTTAACTGTAGTAGTCCAGTTGTATTTTCTGTTACCATAGCAGGACATGACAACACAACTGAAAAATTTAAACACTATCATTTGGTGTCCAGAGTTGCCTACAGGACAAATATTTTGCTTTACAAAGTCACCTGCAATATGCTAATGGTTAAACATTTAAGTTACATGGCATGCTCTGATAGGTTGATGCAAATTAATAATTTGAATATAAATCAATCTCAAATTTAAAATTTTATCCTACTTCATTTATGTTTTTGGAATGTGTTCAAAATTTTTGTATGTTACTTTCTGTTATATTTTTCAATAAATTTATGTGTAGGCAAATATTTCTTTATTTCTCCTTATATAGAGAATATCCTAAGTATTGGTTTGGCCCAAAAGTTTATTCAGTAACTTTTCAACTTAATAAAAAAACAATTTTTGGCCAAACCAATATTTTCTATATTTAACTCAAGTTTTAAGTTATTATTATTATTATTATTTTCTTAAAACATCCCATGTCCTCAATACTTTTGCTTGCCACTGTATAGATACATACATAATATACATTGTTATCATGAAGTGTAGAGTATAAAATAAATATTGTACATTTTGAACTTTGAAATTTAGCTATTAATATTTTTCAGTTTCTTATTCAACACAAAATAAATGTAACTGACAACTGCAGAAACTTCAACACAAGTTGAACTGCAGTTAATAGTTTAAATTATTTTATCTCTACAGTTTATTTTTTTTATTTTTAAATAGTTGCATTAAATTAGCATAATGTTTTGTGGGTACTTTGGTTTCATATATTAGTTTGTCATTATTCTTCTTTTTTTAAAATCAGAGAACAATTTTCTAATGTATATAGGGATTTTCTATTGATTTTGGTCTATGATCAAATCCAGTCAATGCCAAGTAGAAGAATTTTTAACTTGTTTACATCAGAATCTAAAAACCATTTGAAATTCATTTGGGTTAATTAAAATTTAATGCAAACAGGCAGATGGAATTTCTTCCTGCAAAATAATTAGTGATCAAAATAGTGTAACTCACAATATCTAAAACAGAATCCAGTGCTTTGTTTTCCAACAGAATCTCACTGATTGTCTCTGAAATGGCATAGGCAAAATGCAGTGGGGTGCGATTTACCTGTAATGAAAAGACTACCATAATAAGCAATTATCATACATACAATAAATTCTGATGTGATCAACAATACTAAATGCTTATTATTTATTGGCAAAGTCACTATTTTGTTCTTATTTTATTTTGTAGTTCTCATTAATTGTCATTTCAACTTTAGACATTGAGCCTAATGAACTCAAAGCATATTTTACTCAGTATCTTATTATTATTATTATTGTTGTTGTTGTTCCTATTTTAATTTTAAGAGTAAAAATTCTGTAACATTTAGTTTCCTTTAATATTCAGTATTGTAGTTATGTATATGATTATCATGTTTATAAAAATTATTAAGTTGTTGTAATGCTTTCCTATTAACACATTTATTACCACTTTTATTAATAGTATTGTCATTATCATCAGTAGCTATTTACATATAATCTTCAATAATGTGGGGAGATGTTGTGTCATTCTGTAAACAAAAGATACTGAAAAAGGTAGTTCTACAGAGTATTGACTCAGGATGAAGGTGAATACCTATGCATCCAAGAGATGACTGTTTTCTTGTCCTAATTATTGTTTCTATGACAAACGTATTTTGTACCTTCAAAGCACTGAGCATTTTGTTGATCAAATAATAAAAAGCCCATTTAAGTCTATTTGAATTCCAGTTGGTAACACTACAAAATGTGGAAAAATTTAAGGCAGAGAATGAATACTTATCTAAGGTACTAATATATATATATATATATATATATATATATATATATATATATATATATATATATATATATATATATATATATGGTTGGATAGATGTGAGTTTGTGACCTGGGTTTCATAGCTTTCTAATAAGTACCACACATATATATATATAGTTAAAATTCCTATTACCACACCCCTGAATCACCTTTGATTTTTATCAGAAATTTTTCATTTGATTTAATAAAGAATATGAAAATTAAGATGAGAAGTTAATTGAGATTATCAAATTCTGGAGCTGAAGATTTTTCAAGAAATCAATTTTACACAGAGATGTATTAAAATATCAGGAAAACTATGTAAAGAATGCTTCTTGCAGCTTGAAAAAGTATTGTAGAATCAGAGAAATGTTTAAAGGCAAATTTGGAAATTTTTTTATAAAGTTATTTTTTTTCAACAAAGGGATTTAATAGTCATTTGGTTCATTACATAAGGCAAAGTTAATCAGTGATGGCTTCATTATTGTTAGCAGATCTGTGCAATCATTTATAACTTTTCAGTTAAATAATAAATAAACTTGCATTTTCTTCAGAAAATTACATCTCTAGTTCTGAATTGACTTCAGATGATAAAAGTATAAAAAAATTTAACTTATCTTCTTCAACTTATCTTCTTTGGAGTGCCATCAAGACTGAAGGTGCCATCATGCCGCCATGGGATCTTCCAAAACTAAACCTTATAAAAGCATACTTGCCTATGTAGAAAGTGTCATGAAAAGATTTACAGATCTAAAGGCTAGAAAAATGTTTTAGGTAGATAATCAATGTTTTCTTTAGCTTGTATTAAGTTGTATATTATAATAAACTGGTTATTCTACACTTTCAGTTTTTCTCTTTGTGAAAATTGTAAAAAATTATACTTGTAAGGATGCCAAAGTTCAGCTTGGCCAGCATCCCAGCAACCTTAGGGCCGTCACTGATTGTAACTCTTACTTTTTATTTAACATTGTGATCTCTTAAAGTCTTTTTCTATTCTCCTCCTAGATATTTTTAAAACCTCACATTGAGTCTGCTTTTTGATAAGGAAAAAAATTCACAAATTTGTACTTACATTGTCTGGCGTATTAATTGCTTCTGGATTAATTTCCAGAATTAGTTTCACTATTGAAATATTATCAAAAAGAATGGCTACATGCAGAAGAGTGTGACCACGGTTGTTTTTACTGCTTGCTAATTGGGGTTGGCTTTCTAACAATCTCTCAGCTGCTTCTTCATCTCCATCTTGAATTAATGAGAAGATATTTGCAATTTTTTCCTGAAAAGATACACAGGGATGAGCATCAAGAAATATTTTATATACACACATACACATTTCTAGTTTTTACTAAATACTGAAACTATATTGAATATCTAAACTTTAAAAATAATATAAATGATTAAAAAAACACAATTTAAAAAGCAAATAAATAAAGACTTAGTTAAAATTAGATAAATTCTAATATTTAAAACAACTCAGTTAAAATAAAATCCACGTATACAACTGCTTAATGTGAATCATGTTTTTTTTGGTTTTTTTTGCTAATGTAGATTTTGACCATGTCAAATTATTTTTCTGAGGATACTTATTTATCAGTGAAATATGTCAAAGTAGAAGTTTTCCAAATTGTCTTATAATAATGTGTTAGTAAAAAAATTTCTCTCTCTTTCCCTATATATATATACCCATATGTCATTTCATGTGTAACAACCGAAAATATATATATATATATATATACACACACACAAATTTATATTTATATATATATATATATATATATATATATATATATATATATATATATATATATATATATAGAGAGAGAGAGAGAGAGAGAGAAATTAATATTTACTATCACATTATATTATTTTCATCTATTGAGTGTATTGCTTGTTCACTTGTTTTTCATTTTCTTTCTTACCTGCATATCATTGATTGTAGCAAGAAACATCATACTCGTGTCAGGCAAATTCTCACTTTCTTGCTTGAGATCAAGAGCTGATTGAAAATATTCATAACTGTTCAGCAATAAATACTTTAGCACTGAAATCTCTCCTTTTTTCAATAGAGTAAGCACATATTTATCTGCAAATATATTTAAGATCTTGATATTAACAGGTTAGCAAAATCTGACAAATCATAAACTCTTATTGCACAATATATTTAATTTCTGCTTTTTAAAATTTTTTTTTAGTAAATAAATTGTGTCTAGTGAGCCTATTTCAAGTTATGCAGAATAATTCAATAATTTTTAATGTATGAGGTTTAGGATTGAAACCTTAACTGTCCTACCTGATATTGTACTTCCTTTGGACCTTCATCAAGAAAAAATAATAATTTAGTAATAGATTTAATATTCAATAAATCATATTTAGTTTTTTATTCATTTTCTATTAATTGGACTGTGCATTTTTTTTTTCATATTTATGAGAGGATTAATGATTTGAAGCTATAGAAAACAAGGACAAAAATACACAGGCAAATCTTAATATAACAGACAAAAAAGTTTTAAACTACTGGTAGCTAGTTTTCTGGCATTATTAATGTAATGCTTTAATGTGTGACTATAAGAAAAGCAATTTAGATTAATAAGGATAAATTTTATCTGAAGGATAATTGCATTTTTCCATAAATATGAAATCTTATAAACATCTATTTTTGATGATGGGCAAAGTGTAGACAACATTTGCTATGTTATCTGGTCCATTATCTGTAAAGTAAACTTGGTGAATGACTCTTCTATGTACTGAGATAGAATAAAATGTTTATTAGTACATCATTGATTATCATCATCATTCTGATGACTATGTGTGGTCATGTTCAGCTGAGCACTTGACCAGTTCCTTCTATATGTCTCAGTTGTGTGCCATTGTCTGAGTCTTTGTGATGTTACCAGCCCATGTTTTCCTCTGTCTGCTGCTTCTTCTTTGGCCTAAGGTGGTACCTTGTACGATGGTAGTTTAATAGTAGTTTATATAGTGGTAGATAAACAGTTTTCTGTGTATTGCTTGCTGTTCTTCATTCATCTCTTTATATTCTCAAGTATACTAGATATTTTCCATAGCACAAATGATAATTTTAATTTATCAAGAAAAGATGAAAAATTAGAGTTCCTAATGTTTATTTACATCAAGACTAGTGCTTATTGAAGCTCCAGGTTACATTCCTCCCCATTGTAACCCTAAAACACTTTAGTTCCTCCCCCATTTTAAATTGTGATTATTTTTTACATCATTATACTTATAATTTATACATATGATGAAAGTTCTTCCCCTGGGAGCCAAGTGGATCCTTTTTAAGAATCACTGATCTAGATTGTAAAATTATTTGGAAAGTTTTAATAAGCTCCTTTAAACTATCTTCCAAAACTAACTTATTGTATCCAAGAAGTATTTTGTAGAGTAATAAAAGTTTAAATGATCCCAAAGGATATATATTCATTGGGGTCTTTTGTAATATATATTTATGTTTAATATTTTTTTCACTTTGTGTCCTCTAAGATACTACAAGTTCTTGGATTAAACAGCAGTCATTAAAGCAACAATAAAAAAAAGATCTATATACCAATTTCTGTTACATTTGCTTCATAGCCCATCTGTTGGGCCACATCCCTAGGAGTCAGGAATTCTATATCTCGGTCTGCTAACAGCATTGGCATTTTGTCCAGGTGAGTAAAATCAGCATCTGTTTGTAAAGATCAAAGTCTATTAGGATACTAGAAAAAGAAGAAATATAATAGTTTTTAAGACAACCAAATTTTCAGTCCTTCATATATGTTTCAATTAAAGAAAATCCGAGGAAAATACTTTATAAAGTTCACTTGTCACACATATGATTATCAGTTAATGAACAAACCAAAATAAAGTTTTTGATTTGATACACATTCATTATTATTCACAATGTTATACATATTTCATACATCTTTTATTATCATTACATAAAAAATACAAATCAATGTTTTTATCTCATGGCACACTTGAACCTATAGTTAAACTTCCATGACACACTTAAATTATGATGATTAAAAAAAAAAGAGTTAAAAAGTATACTTTTTATGATTTATTTATTAACACAAGCAAAATAATTTGTAATAAAAAGATAATAATTAAAATTCTTAAAATTTTTTATTTATTATAATTTAGCATCTAAAACGATATCTGAGCATGACATTTTATGGGGATTTCTTCTTTGCAAGATTGAATTTTATGTGTCATATATTTTCTTCTAAAGATTCTAACCATGATCGATTTTGTTTTTAAAATTTCATATACCAGTATTTAGTGGCAAATCCTTGTCAGATTGTGCCATCTATGGACGGGTCATGCAACCTCATCCCCCCTCCCATTTTATATAAGAATGATATACTCATATAATCAATTTAAAGTAGGGTTTGATTTTGATATGTACACTTATTGTTCTTTGGACTCCTTTCAAAAATAATTTTAAAATTTTCCCAAGACTCTTATGATCCTCTCACAGCACATATGTTAAAATCCCTGATATAAAGGAAGACAGAACTTCTAAATAAATTAACAAAGTTTATATCATTATCAAAAAGTATTATTTTGAGAATAACATGCTCTGAAAGAATAACAATAGCTCTCAGTTTTTTGTGTCTTAATAAAATATTTATTTTACAGAAGTATCTGCTTTTGTATCATTGCTGTCCTCCCTGTTTTAAAATCATGTGATAGCAAATGTTTTTAAAGTTAAAATCATTTTCAAAACTAAAAGTTTAAAACAAAGAATATTTTTGATTGATCTGGCCAAAGCTTTATGGTCTTCCTTGATATGAACAAAACAGATCTTTTTTTTTTGTTAATATAAATTTTACTAAGTTTAAAATTATCTAGAATAGATTATAAAACATGGAAGCTTTTTCCACATTTGGTGGGTGTCTAGTCTTTTTGTAGTTTTATATATTGTCTTTTAATTCATAAATTTAAACAGCAATATGTAATGTTTTAAAAAAGCAATCATTTACTTCTACTAAAATATGACAGGCAATTGTTGTTTTAATGATGAAAACAAGTTTAACTATGTGAAAATCATCTAAAAGTAAATATGAAAATCTAATTACTGGCAATTGCCTAAATTTACCCAATTCAGCAGCCATTCGGTGCAAAGTTGTTTGTCCATTTTCATCTTTCTTTTCTGGTGACTGAAGATTTTGCTTGCGAGCCTCTTCCAATTCACGTTTCTTTCTTGCCTCTTCTTCTTGCTGTAGTTTCTCTTTCCGCTTCTGTTCAAGCATCTCTTTCCGTCTATATATAAAAAAAATGGGGAACATTTTCACAACAGGAAAAAAACATGCATAAATGGCTGCTATAGACCAATATTTTCTTATAATCAGTCTGTGCTTAAATGTTTTGTCTTGACATTGACCTGATCCTATATACAAAATAATTTTTTTTCAGTTTTCAGACTTAGGTTAGAATAATCATTTTTTTTTTAACTTGTTCCTCAAATGTAATTTGTTGATTATTATCATTGGAGGGAGATATTTCTACTTTTGTTGAGGGATGTGCTTATAAAACACTTCAAAGAATGAATAGATTTGCCTCATTTGCTTTCTGCTCAGCCTTTTATAAAGAATAATAAGTATAATTGGTAAAGAAAGATAAAATTTCAATGGAAAAAGAAAGCTCCTAAGATTAGTGAGTGGCAAGGCATTTAGCTTAAGAATGAATATCTATGAATTCAAATTAGTATTATATTATACTGAGTTATTTGTACTGCCACCTTTATATTGGTTGTTAATCACAACGTCTTGTACATTGTAGCTTCTGGCCAACTTCAGGTACCTGTCATTTGATAAAAGCAAATTAGAAAATAATTTTTATCTATCACTTGGAAAGTTGAAATGAGAAGGTAATCTAGTTTTTGCTGGACAGGTGGGTTCAGGAAAGGGAGTGAGAGAATTGAAATTAATGAGGAGAATAAACCATGCCCTTTATTCAATGCACATGGGATAAAGACCAAGGTGAATATATGCATTGGTTAAGTGTATAGTTTATCTGGGTTATGGCATTTGAATACATACTCTTCTCTATTTCAATGGAACAAGCAGACCCCAGCATAACAAGGAAATATTATCTATTAACTAAAATGAGATATTCTTCAACATGAACAGCAGAATGAGAATAGACTACCTTTAGGGATTGAAGAAAAGTTTTAGTTCAAAATTCCAAGAGCATAACTTTATACATCAGGCACCTGAAAGAAGGCTGGAAAGTACAAAAGTCAAAAAATCATGACTGCAACAACTAAAATTTAGACACAAGTTCAAGTATATCAGTGTGTAATAATTTCTCATTTTAAAAATTAAATTCAAATATATATATATATATATATATATATATATATATATAGTACACAATAAAATCCAAAATTACCTCATATGGAGAATAAATAGGCTTATTTCAACTGACAAAAAATTACATTGAACTCTTTTTGTGGATCAGTTTTAATATTTTATATATATATATATATATATATATATATATATATATAAAAAGTGGGAGAGTCCATGACTTACAATAGCCTTCATGTATCAATGTATAATAGCAATAATTTCTCATCTTAGATATTTAGACCAGAAAATTTCAATTATATATTTTTTTTTTTATTATCATAAATGTCATATTTAAAGGATAAACATATCCACTAAATATAACATTTATAGTAATGAGAAAAAAATAATTTGAATTTTTTGGACCTAGTTTCAGTAGACATTTCTGTTTTTGAAACTGTGTAATTGATGTCTCCCAGCCTGGGCATTCAAGAGTTTTTAATAAAGAGAGGAAAAAAGAAATGTATACATAACAGTGAAGAAATAGATTGTAACCATATTTCATTTTAAATAATGATAATTTAGTTCATTATGCTTACTTTTCTCTCACAAGACGTTTTTCTTCTTCAATGCAAGCTTTTTTCTTCATTTTCTCTATCTCAGCTTCCATCATTATTTTTAATCGCTCTTTTTCCTTAAAAAAGAATTGTTCAACATCAATAAGCATCAGTAGTTACCTTTTTCTGTTAAAACTGCTTATAAGTTTTACTTGTTTTCATCTCATTTCAAAACAAATAACTAGTCTTCTTAAAAGAATAAATTTGCCTACCATAATGTTTTTAAGTTTTCATGTTTCTATACTAGTTGATACAGAAGTTGAAACATTTAAGTATAAGTTTCTGTAATTCTTTTTCAACTTTTGCAACTGGTGACTGCCTAACAAAAATGGTTTCCTTTCACATACAGATAAAAATATTTTCTTATGAATGCATTATGTTTTTGTAAGGGAAACAACCAACAATTATTATTATTAATATTGCATGATATTTTTGTTCAGATCTTTAGATTGTGATCAAATTTGATTATTTCTGAAGCTAATTTATGGTAATGGTAAGGTTAACTGTTTTCATCCAAAAAATATTCAGCATTCATTGGTTGAAATTTATAAAATCTTAAAAGTTTTTTTGAGGAAAATAGGCTTCTCAAGTTCATTAACTTTTATGGCTCTTCCTAAGATGTGCAGGTGGTTTAATGAATAATGACTCAGAATAAGAAATCAGAGAGCCAAGTTCAAATTCCAGTCAAGTTCATTCAATTATACCTTTGAGAAATGTATGAATCATCTCCCCCACTATGGATTACATAATAGAACTCATATCTGGAAAACCATTATTCTCATGCAATATTCACTCCCTGCCAAAAATAAATATTCTTAGAATCCAATATATGTTTTAGCTTTAAATAACACTATGACACTGAGGCTGTGAGATGGTTAACCATTAATTCTAAGCAGAAAAAGGGTTAAGCCCAAAATGAAATATTAACTGGAAGATAGAGAGATAGAAAGAGAGAATGGAAGACATTTTTCCTTGGTAATGTGGAAGTGAACAAAGTGCTATCTGGGTTGCCTCACCCCTACAAATTGGAATGGTGTACCAAGATTACTTTTTTATCTATTGAAAATTTGGTATGGAGGGAAAGCAAATTAGGAAATGGCTTTATCTCTTTCTTGGGAAATTAGAAGAACACGTCATTGGTGAAAAGAGAAGAAGAATTATATTTTCATTAGTGAAAATGAATTGAGAAATGAAAACAGAGAATGAACCCATGTGATAGCTAGGATTATAAAAATCAATCCACCATAGCAGGCAGGTGGTCTGGTTTACGTTTTTGCTAAGAGGGCAACCAGCTCAAGGATGGAAAACAGTGTCTCTCTGTTGAGAATTTAAGTAAACAAATATATTTTCCTTGACAAAAGTAAATTGGAAAATAATTTTTATCTATCACTTGGAAGGTTGAAATGAGAAGGTGATTTGGTTTTTGCTGGACAGGTGGGTCCAGGAAGGGGAGTGAGAGAATTGAAATTAATGAGGAGAATAAACCATGCCCTTTCCTATGCACTTTAAAAATTAGATTTGTCACAAAGAATGTTATACCATTCCTGAGAAGTGGGTAGAGTTAGAATACTGAGAAGGAAGGAGGAAGGGACAGAATTTAGCCCCGCCTATACAGAGTAGTGGTGTGAAATGTGAAGTGAAGCAGGTTGGAGTTAAGGAAAGAGAAATCTCTGTGACTACTCCCAAAGAAGGTGGATAATTCTTCAAATTTGGAAAGTTGATTAAGAAAGCAGAAATAGGAATAAAGAAAACCTTCATTGGAATTAATAAAAATTGGGGAATCACCAAATAAGCTATAAAAACCAAATCAATTAATTCTTCCTAAACTTTTGTTTACAAATTGTGATATAAAGACAAAATTATGTTTATATCTCGCTCTGTTGATTTTCTCATAAACATTTCATCAAACTACCTAAGTCATTAACTTATTTTTTGGGTGGGAAGTTAGCTACTTACATTGTGTGGTAGAAATATGTCCCACATGATAGTAAGACATTAGCTAGATGAAGATACTATTGCTATTAATGTCTTACTATTATGCAGAAGATATTTCTGGGAGGTATATGTGGGAAGTATTTCTGCCACACCAATTATAAATTATATAGTCTTAGTTTTCTTTTAACAAAATCCTTAGTAACATTATTTGCATGAGAAAACAATGAGTCCAAAGAATATATTTTGTATATTTCAAAATTATATTTAATCTAAAAACAACATTCAGTAACTGTGCAATTAGATTATCATACATATATCCTTATTTATAGCATAGGCGATCAGGAAGAGGCAGCTGAAATTTCTGGGACACGTAATGAGAAAGGAGAGTTTGGAAAATCTGATACTCACAGGGCAGATAGAAAGAATGAGGGACAAGGGAAAGCAATGTGTGACATACTTAACAGGCTTAAGCAAGTAAATGGCAGAACAGTGTCTGGGAGAAATAACAAAAAAAAGACAAATCTTATTCATAGCTACAAGGGACAGGAAGTAGTAGAGAGCTATGATCGCCTATGTCCTGAAGGGACATAACACATAAAAGAAGAAGATATTTGTCATGTTTATACTTCACTTGTTTTAAGTATATATGTATACTAATAAATAACTGATTTCTTTCTGTAAAATGCTTATATGATCAATAATTCAATGATTAGTTCTCAAAATAAATTTTTCAGGTAAGGATGTGAGAAATTCATTTTGATAGTTGCTCGCCATTTTTGAAAATCCTGTTATTTTTTTAAAATTACTGTATTTATTGGCTCTTCTGAAGTATATCAAAGACAGGAATAATTGCACTCACCCTTTTCAGTTCTAATTGGTTTTCCTTATATTTGTATAACCAACAAGAAAGATATTCAATTGGATCCAATGGTTGCTTTTGCACAATTTCAGTCAAAGCCTTTGTCAATGGCACCCCAACATGGCAGATGAGATACTTTGTGTCCAGATCTGATATTTTCACCTCTTTTTTTTCTGCTCCATTTGTCTCCATCATATCCATTCTGAAAATACATCTTGAATGTTACAGCTGCAAATATTCTTTGTTTCTGAGTATAAGAATTGAATATAGTTTACTAAAGCAAGGTTTTCAAGTTCAAATGAAAACAAATAATTAATATTAACAACTAGTAGAATCAACTCTTGCATGTGCATGTACCTTTTCTGACATTCCCTTTTTACATCTTTCTTAAGATGCTGGAAAAATGGTCAGCTGATTCTATCATTCCAAGTACCTAACTCCTGCTATCGCAAGAGTCAGATTAGATAAAAAATGGAGTATTGCTGCCATATCTACACTGATTACCAAACTAAACCTCATAGAAGTGGTTTAGTCTCCAAATGATATCTCCACCCTATATATATTGTGTGAGTAACACTTTTCTTCATCACTAGAAGAGTTCACTTGCGCATTTCTATGTAGTAGGCTTTTCTGATGACATATTAGAAATGTCACAATATATTTGTACTGGAAATATTGTGTTAAAGGAAATTTTAAATTGGGATTGGCTCTATAAATAAATGTTTAAAGAAAGTAAGTATGTTCAAATATGTGTATATATTAAAAAAATAGCGCCATTTATGTTGTTGTTTTCATTTATAACGAAAGGGACAAGCAAATTATCTTTAATTTTATTTTTACTTTAGTTTAATACTCAAGAAGTATTGAACAGAAACAAGAAAATACAGAACAATAACGTTTTTGATATTATATAAGTAAAATTGGAAAATTATTTAAAAATGTTATAATTTCTGATGGCATCGGTAAACTCATAAAAGTAATAAAATACCAACCTACTACTAGGTATTTTATTACTTCTAATAGCGTTTTTTAGAAAATAGTTATCTGTTAACTTTATTTTTGTATATTTATGCCATGATCTCTTGCCATCACTTTAAGAAAGCTAAAAGCAACATAGTTAAACATTTCTTATTTTTTGTTAATCCATTTCCTTTTCTAAGGTTAGCATCGCATTCCCACGCTTTCATTGTTGAAACGGTTAAATGTAACTGTCTCTTCTACTCAAACAACTTCTTCTCTCACACTTCCTGTCTGTGGAATTCTCTTCCTCTTATTTACTCTTATTTACTTCCCTGATAACTATAATCTTCAAATATTCAAGTGTAATGTCAATCAACATCTTCTGATACCTTGATCTTGTTTCCTATTCTTCTCTTTATCCTCTCCCCCAAACACACCTCTTTACTCTTGTTCTCTACCCTCTGTAACCCCTTGTGTGTTAGTGGCACTCCCGCCTTGCTTGGGGTAAAATGCTTAAAAAAATATATTTAATTTACTTAGTCATTTTATAAATCTCAACCAATCAGATTCATTCTTTTGAAGATCTTAATTAGGCTAATAAAATTGTAAAAAAATTTCTGGTCATCACTAAATTACTGAACACTATCTGCATCAGACCGTTTGGTCAGCACTGCTCTCTTCTGCAGGTAGGATGAGTTCTCCAGCAGAATCAATGGTTGACGATACCTAGTACAGTGAGAATGCTACTGCAGGACATTTGGCTAAAGCCTCTTTACACAAATTCCTGAAAGGCTACAACGGGGTTTCAAGCCTTGAATGGCAACCTTCCTAGAGTCAGTGATTGTCCGAGTTGGGCATCAAGAAAAACACCTGGACTTGTAAAACCTTGCTTCAAATCATTCTGACAAGATCCTCTGTCAGACAGGCCCTCCACCTTGTTTTGTGCGAGATTAATCCCATTTTTGCTTCAACAAAAAAAACCCCAAAAAACCCACAGATATGATGATGATGACTTAGTTGAGAACAAGTGTGCTTAATTAGATATCTTCATTATAAACTATAAAGTTCATGTATTTTCTACTTAGGATATGAACTGTTTAAATTCACCATATCTTATCACACAAAGCAAGTGACTCTTTCCTCTTCTTTCTTTTTCTTAATGCAGCCTCCTGTTCATCAATGAGTTAATACATTATTACCCTTACAACTTGTTGCATCCATGTAATAATTTCAACTTTACTCCTTTTTGCCAAAAAACTAGGCTTGCGACTAGTTTAA